TGGCACTTAACCATTTGTACCACCGAGGGATTGCCCCAAAGATCGTAGGGCATCGAAAGAAAACTCAAGTGTGTATTTTTAAAGGGTTTGAGGAACAAACTAGTGTCATGAGCTCCTTTAAAAAATCTTAAGACTTTGATTGACTTTCCATCATCCAGTGATGAATAATGAAACGAAGGCACTGTACACCCCCATTCTACAGCTACGTTTTTGGTATGGGGGTTTGTCTTGTTTTAATAGCACCATCTCCATTTTACTTTCTTTCAGACGAGTTTTCTCTTCAGCCTTTAAGGAACCAAGTCCTTGCATGGGCTTTGGTGGGGACCGTGGGGCAGCACCTGCATCTCTGACTCCCAGCAGAGTGTTTTGTCCTTCGGGGCTTCAGGAAACAGTTCACCAGTTTGCTGTGTGAACAGCACGACAATAGTGCAATTTCATACAGAGCTGGAGAGGCACACACGCACTGAAGACATTCTGAATAAGGATTAGGTCAAAGTCCTCTCTTCTGCCATAGAAGTTTTGTTCGATTCCAATGTCCTCTTGCTAATACGGTTTTTGTAAGAGCCAGGATCACTATGCCACTTAGGCCTTCACCATGAGCTGACAAATAGGAATCTGGAATGTTCTCCTTCTTTTCCTTGTTATTTCCTCAGCATTTCACAGCATCTAACCTCAGTTATAGTATAGGCAATCTTCTATCTTCAGAAAACAAAATTATAGAGACTGTTTAATATTAACTAAGGAAGGGATAAAGAAAAAATGGTAAGCAAAAGGAGACTTTTGATTATCTCTGGATGACTTCAATTAATACCTACAGAAGCAGTAATCAGGGAAGTCTGTATAACATACAGTATTATATATGTCCTTGGGCACAATCCGTAAGAAATATTCTCAGGGGTGACTGGGCCACAGACGTCAGTATTTGCAGTTAATGATTTGACAAGCTAGTTAAAAAGGCAGGTTCTCAGACCCTACAGACCGTCATTCAGATCCGAGGTCGATAAGACACTGTATAAAAACCCTGCCACTGTGGCCTAAACATTCAAAGCTGGTCACCACTCATACCAGGTATTTTACCTGTGTCTTGCTTAAACCAAGGAAGCCCTCATACTTATTTCTTGGACAATAACAAAGTTTAGGGTGCTCTTTAATAACAAAATAATTTCTGGTAAAAGGCAACAGATTTAAATTAGACTTTTGAATTTAAATTTTATAGGTATCTATTTCTCTCCTCCTCTCATAAGTTTTTATAATTGTTATTATTTTTAAGAATCTTACATTTCACGTTATGCTTTGAGGATAATAAATTGTAGGAATAGTTAAGTAGATCAAAAGTGTTCCCAATTAATAAAGATTAAATTCCTGTATTAATAAATCTCAACCACCATCCTCAGGATTTGAATTTTTATGTAAGGTCCACAAGAACGAGGAGGGATCAACAATAAGATTTATCAATGTTTTGGTGATCAATAAATATTTGATAAGTGCCACTTTAACAAAATCATATAAATCTTAACACAGGTTCCTAAATGCATCAAGAGTTTTTAAATTGTACAAAGTTCTACCTTTTGTTTCCTAAATGTTGTTCAAATATTTATTCATTTTATAATAAATGTAAGACGGCACCATTCTAAAAAAATGATGCTTACAGGATCCTATTTTTAGAATTTGAGATATAATTATGATGACTCATAAAATATGTCATTATTTAAAAATGGACAAACACATCATATCTGAAAAGAATGCTGAGTGGTAGGCTAGTGGTGGGCATGGACCCTGAAAGTCTAAGACAGGAGGAATGACGAATTCTACCTAGAAATTATCCTGCCCAGTGACATGTCCTGGTCGTTTTGTGATTACAACACAGATGCATTGAAGGATGAACAGGAACTCACCCTGCTAGCCTGAGCAGAAGGGGTGAGCCAGCACCCAGGTGTGAGGGGATGAGAGGATAAAGCAAACAACTTATTCCTATTAATCAGAGAACTCTTTTGTACAACAGTCAGACCTTGGATTATACATTTCTGTAAATTATAAATAGAGAACATGATTCTATAGGTGATCAATAATGAAAGATACAGAATTACCTAATACTCCCATATCTGTCCATACTGAAAGAACCATGCTCGACCACCATCTTGAAAGGTGGCTGGTGTTAGCAAGGCTTCCAACCAGCATATGAACAGGGTCTTTAACAAAGCAATCCAGTCTCTCCAGTGTGACACTAATGGGATTGAAACAAAAAGGTGATTCTGGCTACACTGAAAAGCATCAAACAGCATGGGATTTGTCATCATAATAAGTATTTAATAAGAAACAGTCAGTATTTATTATTCATTTCTAAAATTTCTTGTACGTTGTCAGCAAAGTGGTGCGTGCTCTTCATGCACAGACGTCTTTACCATACTCCTCATAAATCCTCTGGAACACAGAAAGGTACCTCATTTAACAGACAAGCAGACAGGCGCAAAGAATTGAGAGAGTTTGCCCAGTAACGTTTAACTTCTAAGAAGGAAAGCTGGAATTCTAAAGCCTATGCTCTTTCCTTCATAGTCTCTCTGCGGAAGTGAGACGTTTAAGGACAAGCTAGTCAAATGTGAGTCCTCTTTTCTGGAACCCTACACTCTAAAACATTTCAAAAAATCGTATTTTCCTTAAAAAAATGCATAAGGAAACCCAGTCCAAAAAGTCCAAGGGTGACCAGGCCTGGTGATTCCGCTGAGTAATCCTATCAACCTTGCTATGTATGATTCAAGTCCGTGTCTTGGCAAAAATGCCAGTGTACTAACCACTCTGATGTCCAGGTGATTAACAAAATGTTCAATCTATACATATCAAAAGTCCACTGTTTAAAATCAGCAATACTTACATTTTCTTGTTATTATTATTATTATTATTATTATTATTATTATTATTATTATTAGTGTGTGTGTACCGTCAAATCAGATCTGACTGGTACAGGAGGAGATTGTCCCTCCTTCTCCAGCAGAGCATCTGGTGGACTCAAACCGCACATCTCTGAGACTGTAGTGCAGCTTCTTGCCACTAGGCCACCAGAGCTCACCAGCAATACTTACATTTTCATGTAAGGACTGAAGTAAAAATACCTACACTACAGGACAAGGCACATAAATAATGATGTTTATTTTGGGAATCAAGATGTTAAGAGATTTAGGCAGAACATTTTAAAAGCTTGTTTTACAGCCTTAACATTAAAATTGAAATGGGAAATATTAATGTCAAATCATGAATTTGAAAAATACACTGTATTTCCAAGTTCTAACAATTAAGAAAAAATATAAAAGCATTAACACTATAGTTGCAATGACTATCCGAAGGATCAAGTTCTCTGGTTAAAAATGCAAGAGTTCCTTGGAGAATTGGCTGATTCTGCTCTGAGAAAAAAAAATATAAAAGTGAGCTTAGGAAATCTTAAACCGTAAAACAACAAAGTAAGCAGAGATTGATGGGCTCGGGTCCACAGGACATCGGGGTGACTGGAGGGGACTCAGTGATAAAGCTTTCAGACAACTTGAGCAGGCACCAAAAACAGAACTGAAAGACAATGAAGAGATAAAAAATCCAGGAATCCACAACAATACTAAAAACAAAAAAGGGGGAGGGGGGATCCTATTCAAATGGGAGAAAAGAGACCTCTCATTTACAAGCACTGCAAGTGACTCCTGGACCAACGCTTCAGTCCAAAGTATCAAGTCTTGTATCCTGCCTTTTTTTTAATTTTTTTTTTGTATCCTGCTTTTTCAATAGGACCTGTATTATAGATCAATCAAAGAACTCTGCTGATGAGGCAAATTTCTCTTCAAAACCAATGCTAGTTTATAAACATAAAAGAAATACTGAAAGAAGAAAAAGTATCATTTTGTAAGTACTAAGGGGGCTCTGGTGGCCTAGTGTTAAGAATGTGCACTGCAATCCCAAAGGCATGCAGTTTGAATCCACCCGCCGCTCTCCTTCCATGCTGATTACTGCCTCTGAAAACCCGCTGGAGGGTCACCTATGGGTCAGTTCTGACTCACCATATGCAACAACAATGAAATAACAGATCAATGACATTTGACACATACTAAAATCATTACACAAAGGACTAGGAGAGAACACCCTATCACTTACTACTGACTAGATACCAAGAGAAAAAAAGTTAGTATTTCAAAGGAGAAGCCTGCTTACCCTAACCTTAAACAATCAAAATTAACACCACTATCAAAGATGCACTCAGCTAGCAAATTATTTCAGTGGTGCAATACGGAGCAAACAGCATCACCCACAGAGTCTGAACTAACTTGCATCAAGATCTAATTTTCAATTTGAAACAAACAGAAGAGAATCAAGTTAAAGACCACAGAAAAAGAATCTGAAAAATCCAGGACGAGACACTGTAAAACGTAACTGGCCCAGACCCTTTAACAAGGCTGTGTGTAGGAAGGATGGGAGGAGGATGGGCAATCTCCTCCCCACGAGTAACTGCTTCTGAAAACCAGCCGGAGGGTCAGCTGTGGGAGGGTCAGCTGTGGGCTGGTTCTGACTCAACAGCACACAACAGCGACAGCATATAGAAAGAAAGGGGGAGAGAACTCTTCTAGATGGAGAGATTGAAGAGGCTTGACAATTAAACACAACACGTGGAACCTTCATCAGTTCATACACCAGCCCTTTAACCACTTTCCAGTCGCCATCAAATCAACCCTGACTCCAGGCAACACCAAGCACATCACCTGACAGTTTTCAGTAGCAAATCTGGGGGGCAGTAAACTACTAAGTCTTTCTTCTGAGGCATCCCTGGGCAGACATGAACGTTTAACCTTAGTCAAGAGCTGGACGTGTAAACCACCTCTACTACTCAGAGATCTCTAATGTTAGAAGATACTATTCCCTCGGCTTCTCCTCAAATGTAAATAGTCATGAAAAAAATAGAAGGATGGGGGGGGGGAAGAAAAGCTTTCTGACACAGGGATTTTAACTTATTACTGTGTTCTACTCACCTCCACTCAGCAGCTTCATGACCAGCCAAAGCTCATCTTTCACCACGAAAGATGTATAGTAAGACACGATGTTAGGATGATGGCACTGACTCATCGCCTGAATTTCTTTCTACAAAGAAAAAGAGAACGCAAGATGAATCCACTTACAGGTAAACCAAAAAGCAAACGTTACAGGTTAGAAAATCCAGATTTGGAATCGCAATGCTATGTCCCAATTTTTCTGGGCTGTTCATGGCCCTGAATTCTTTAACATGCGCTAAACAAAACCCCTGCTGGTTTCCCTGATGCTACACCTTGACTCACTGCACAGGTCATCCCAGAAACAAGACGCGAGCTCTGTGTGTCACATCCCGGGACAGCATCGCAAGAGGCCTCCCCTGGATCACTTCGTTTGACTTCATGATTCTCAAAACGATGTCTCAAAACTATTTTTAAGAAATCTGCTTTGTAGAGGTTAATAAGTAGCCGATGGTTTTAGTCTGCTTGTTTTTATAAGGAGCTCTGGTGGCTGAGTCCATAAGGATTTGCACTGCCAAGACAAAGGCCACATCTCTGACAGCTCGAATCTACTGTTGTTATGTGCCATCAAGTCACTTGCGACTCATAGTGACCCTCTGAACAAGAGCCCTAAACGCTGTTCTATCCTGTGCCAACCTCGCCGTCTCAAACACACTCATTCCCACCACTCCTCTCGCAGAATCGATCCATCTCATCGAGGGTCTTTCCTCTCCTGCACCGTCCCTCCACTCTCCCAAACATGATGTCTCTCTCCAAGGACCAGTCCCCCTCCTTGCAACATGCCCAAAGTATGTCAGACGAAGCTTCAGAACCCTTGACTCCAAGGAGCATTCTGGTTTCACCCTCTCCAAGACAAACCTGTTTGTTCTCCTAGCAGTCCATGGTATATTCAATACTCTTCTCTAGCACCACAGCTCAAAGGCATCAATTCTCTTTCTATCATCCCTGTTCATTGTCCAACTCTCAGATGCATAGCATGTAATTGTGAGGACTATAGCCTGGATCAGGTGCACCTTAGTCTCCAGCCTGATGTTGTTGCTCTTCAGTACTCTTGAGAAGTCCCTCACAGCTGACTTTCCCAATGCAATTCATCTCCTGATTTCCTGGCTGCTGTTACCACGAGTGTTGACTGTGGAGCCAGGTAATCTAGAGCTGTTAACTATCTCAATCTCTTTACCATCCATACTGATGTTTCCAATTGACCCAGTGGTGAGAATCTTTCATGATGTTGAGCTTCAATCCATATTGAAGGCTGCAGTCCTTGACCTTCTGCAGCAAGTGCTTCAGGTCCTCCTCAGTTTCAGCAAGCAGGGTTGTGTCATCCGCATAATGCAGGTTATTGATAGGTCTTCCACCAATCCTGATGCCACATTCCTCCTCGTACAGCCCAGCATCTCGGATGATTTGTTCTGCATACAGATTGAAAAGGTATGGAGATAAAATACATCCCTGACAGACCGGACCCCCTTCCTGATTTTGAATCTACTAGCAGCTGGAAATCCTCCCGTGGACTTAACAGTGTCACAAGCCCAGCGGAGGGCCAGTTAGAAATCAGTTCTGACTTGATGGCAACGAGTTAAGAGCCGTTTTTACAAGATCTGTACATGCAACAAAATACTAGGCTGTCTCATTGACATGATACTATTAACAATTCTCTCTCTAAAAGAGATATATACTAAAGTAGAAATCGGTATGATTTCTTAAAGGTCTTAAACGAAATTCAGAGTAGAAACCTGAGCCAAAAGCCCAAGCTACTCTGTCTCAGTGGGAATTGGGGAAAGAGCGTCTCCTGAGACACCCCCTCAGCTGCTTATGCCACTTTCTACTTCAAAATAAAGAAACTGCCTTAATGTCATGGTTAGGGCTTGGGGTCAGTTCATATTCAGATGCACATGGCATTTTCTTCTACTTCCTTAAGATGACTTGTTTAGATTTTTCTCTGTGTGTGTGATAGTGTATGTATATAATTAAGCTAAATAGTATCTATGTTTTCCAGTGTTTGATTTCTAGTTTCAATTTGTCTCCTCTCTTTCACAAGTCAGTCTCTGAATTTTAACCAGAGAGTATGCTGCTTCTACTTACCAATTCTGAGATAAAATTCTGCCTAATTGGTTGTCATCCTACAAAATGCCAACTCAAAGCAGTATTTCAGAAAGGCAACTTGCTTTTAAGTATTTTTTTAAAAAATTTTAAAAATCTTTACATTAATATTAACATTTCATAATGGGGCTCTGCTGGTCCTAGTGGGAGGGCTGCAAACCCAAAGGGTGGCAGTTTGAATACACATTTCACCACCTCCAGACTGGTCCTGGGGATTACTTCTCTACTGGTTATCTACACAAATGCTTACTGAATTTTAGGATCAAAACTGATGTAGGCAGCCTGATAACATAAAATATTCCAGGAGCTTCTTCTCTCCAATATTAATTTAATAACTAAGGTAGGTGCTTATTGTTGGTTTTTCTACATTTTATGGCTTCATTTGTTATAAACATCTGAAAATGAAAGAACAGATTTGATAAAATGTGGTCTACGTGACTCAGTTCCTGTTCACATCACTGGCCTCATCCCCATCCTTTAAGTAAGCTTTCCTATGGGCCAAGTCCAACAAAATGACCCTGGACATTTATTCCACAAGTTCTCTGTGCTTCAAAGATACTTTTCCCATCATCTTTGCTTGCATCATTCCTTTTCTTCCTTCTGATCGTCTATAAATGCTTCCAGCTCCCCAATGTGAGGTAGGCTCCCATGCTCCAAGCAAGCCCCTTGGTATGTAACTCACATGACAGCACTGTCCTGCCCACTGTGGGTCTTGTCCATCTGTCCCACTGGACTTGGAGTGGTAGGAAGGCAAATACTTAAAAATTTATTCAATACTGTCTTCTGCAGTCACCACAAATCTGTAAGCTCATGAGGTTTAAGATCTATTCTGGGAATGAGGTGATTGGCAAACAGTACACAGTCAATAAATAATTGCTGAATGAATGAAATCTTATTGCATTTTATAGTTTTTCACTTATTCATGTACTTGTCCTATGCCCTCAGGGGATGAAATTGTTCAGTAAGATCAACTGTGTGATTCCTGATTCTTTAGGAGCTAAATAAACAAAAGCTTTCCTTCCCTCAGCTTCTCGAATGTAAATTCTTTCTATGCGTCTTTGCAAGTCCCAAAGTCTTTTGCACTAAAATCTAAGCAAAGATGGAGGAAAAAGGAGAAAGAGAATGCAGCACTTGCCTACTAGAATGTGATACAGGATTTGAAAAGATACATTTACATGTAAGTGGGGAGATACATATATGACAATTTACGCATGTCAAACAGTAAAGATATTAAATGATCTGAGAACCCGCTGGGGGGAAAAACCAACAGTATACTAGGTGAGCAGAAGAGTCAAGACTCTGCAGAGGAGACGGGAACTAGACAGGTTCCATCCCTGGGTTCCTTGGCAGTCAAGCGCCATGTATCTATCGTCTCTCTGTCTCTGTCGGCACTTGCTCCACTGCTAGCTTAATTCACTTTTACATCTCAAATGAGACTGACTTAAAATCCAACCTATGCCAAGACCTCCTCACTGACATAACGACGAAAACCCATCCCCACCAGGACGATGAGTACAGGTGCTGTATCTGGTGGAGCTGGGCCCATAGGCTTCCTCCGCTGTCATCTCTGTGAGCACAGAATATTGGGTCTTGCCTCCTGCAGGCTGCTGGTGGGGTTCAAACCTCCAACTTCGTGTTTAGTAGCTTAGTGCTTGGGCATTGCACCACCAGGGGTCCTGACCCACAGACACAGGATTAAGCACTTATATTCTGGAAGCATGTAACGCAAACCAATAGCAGACTGCAACTCCTAACGGGTCACGAGTAATTTTATTGGGCCACATTAAAAAAAGCAACATAAAAAAGACAGAAAAATCAGAGTGCACTTCACATGTATGTTTCATGGAAAATGTCATTATAGTTGTATTAGTACTTGGAATACATTTCTTTTATTATGGATGTATAAAATATAAGGACAGTGAATCAGGATAACAGAAGAAGAATTGATGCCTTTGAGCTATGATGCCGGAGAAGAGCCCTGAGCATCCCATGGTTGGCCAAAACAACAAACCAGTATGCAGCAGGGTGCAAGCCAGAGTGCTCTCTGGAGGCAAAGATGGTGAGGCTCCGCCTCACGTCCTCGGGGCATGTTGTAAGGAGGGGCTACTCCTTGGAGAGGGACAAGGTGCTTGGAAAGACCAGGTGGACTGACACAGTGACTGCTGCTATGGACTCTAGCTTGTTGGGAAGTGTGAGGATGGCACAGGACAGGACAGAGTTCAGATCTGTTTTGCTCACTGGGTCACTATGGATCATACATGACTCAATGGCACCTAACAAGAACAACTGTGGGACACCATTAAAAAAAATTTACAAAGACTATACTTTCAGGGATCATTTCTATAGTTCGTTACTAGAGAAGTTTCTCTGATCGTGTAGAGCACCGAAAACCATGAGGAGGAGACGCAGCGTTCTCTCCTGAGCGTGAAGCCGGCTCTTGGTGTTGCTTCGTTGCAACTGCCACTTGCCATTGATGATCGTTCTTCTCTCCCATCATGGGAGAGGAAGAGGGAGAGGACGCAGTCTGAGTGGTTTTCTTAGAGAAAAAAAAAAAAAAAAATTTACAGTCACTGACCTAAACTCCAGCAAGATCTACTAGCTGGTCTCTCCGTCTCTGACATCTTAGCCTGCAATTCACCTTATAACTTAAGAATTTATCTACTGAAATAGCTAGTTGGGTTTTTTCCTTTCTTTTTATTTTATTATTTTTTGTGTGTGCCGTCAAATCAGATCTGACTGGTACAGGAGATTGCCCCTCCTTCTCCAGCAGAGCATCTGGTGGATTCGAACCAAGTACCTCTGGGATTGCAGCGCAGCTTCGTGCCACTAGGCCACCAGAGCTCCCTTTAAAATAGCTAGTTTTTTAAAAGCACAGTAATAAGTGCTAGTAAGGAAGTAAAAAGCCTGGAACCTTACATATTGGTAGGAATCCTGGTACATTCACTTTGGCTAGCAATTTGGCAGTTTCTCAGCAATTTAAAATGGAGAGTT